TATCCGATTATTAATAGTTTAATCCATTTGCAAAATAATCCTTAGTTGCAGCCCTAAATGGAATCAACCTTTTGGTAACTTCTGGTAAATTAAACTAATCCACAGCAGTAGGACAGCAACTTTTACTTTTAAATTGGTCAACAGTTATTTTTCTTGCTACTGTTGAATGAAATAAAGTGCTATAAATGATAACTGAGACTTTGTGTTACAATCTGTGGTTAAACATATTGTGTAATTCTCACAGTGACACACAAACATAAAGGGGTCAAAGTAAGATTAAAATGTTACATGACAGGCATTTGTGATATCTGATGGGCGTCTATTATTCCATGAGGAGCAGTTATTACTCACTGCATAATATGATAAGAGGGTTTAAGGGCCAATAAAACAATATAAAACCACATTGTTAAATAATATTGTATGTATTGACTGTCATCTTTTGTAAATTTACACAAGTTACAAGCTTTGGAAATATAGTAAACTGAACATTTGTAACTACAAGCATAAAAAAATAAACCTGTTGAATAAATAATGACTTCAGCCTTTATAATCAGAGGTAATGACCTTAGAAAAGTGAATAGCACTTTGTGGTGCAGATTAGGTTGCACCAAAAAAATCAAATGGTTTTAGTTTTAATCTCATTGATGTTGTTAAAGACATGGAATATTCTCTGGACCCCATTTAACTATCTGCACAACAATCAACTCATCTTGCTTGCAAAAACTCTAAAGAGGCAGAATAACAGCACAGGAATCAAGGAGTTTAGGACCAGCATTGTATGATCACTAGTAACATATTTTAAAAAAAAAACACACAAACAAAAATCCTTATTTGAAGGAAATCTTTGTTTAAAAAAATGGTCAGAATACTAAAACACCTCTAGAAATGATATAAGTAGCAAATAGAGCTAGCTCTTTCTCATGATATTCTCTATAAACCTGATTTTTTTTTATTTACTATTTGTGCAAAAATATCCTTCTATGAACAAAATATATGACCTTCCATCTTTGTTCCTTGGAAAGAGTTGAGCTGTGCTATTATAATGTTAATTAGGTTTGAAGTTACAATAAACCCTGTCTGGATTTTGGGACTCGCATTAAAAACAAACATTTCATTGACGTCCTTTCTGAAAACCCTTGTTTTTAAATCAACATCTGAATGCATATAGAGATAAGGTCTGCTACTTTGAAGATAATATCCTGGTTTATGCTCTGCAAGGTCAAATTACATCATCTTAGCTTCCACACCCAGCTTCTGCAAAACAGATTTTTCTGCAGTAAAATTTTAACCACATGGATGGCTCCTCACAGAAATGCATGATGGACTAGCGACAGCTCCTACTGGTGAGGGTTTGCAAATATAGACCTCTTTTCAAAACGATCACATAACAACGCAAACAACAGCATGAACAGCTCCTTGATTTCTGTCACTCTCAGATGACAAAAAGAGGCATTCAAAATGTTGGAAGCAACTGTGTTTTCCACTTCTACATGTGGCGTGGTGTTATAGCTGTCTGTGCCCTACACTTCCCCTAGCGTTGGCGTTCGGAGCGTCTCCTTTCCACACAGGATGTAGATGCATCAAGCATTAACCAAACTAAACAGGCCCCAAGATGGTAGAAAGCAGAAAGAGAAACTTTGTGTAGGATGGAGAGACTTCATGTTACACAATTTGAAACGAATAAGACTAATGCTTAAGACATGATTAGAACATAAAATGTAACCTTAGAGTAAAAGAGAAAAGGGGAGTGTTGGCCTGGTGGTTAGAGCAGTGCGCTTGTGCTCTGAGAGGGTTGCAAATACCCGGTCGATCCTTAACTCCACACTGCTCCCTGGGCGCCGCACAATGGCAGCCCACTGCTCACCAAGGGGGAGTTAAATGTAGAGGTACATTTCTCCAATTTGAAATCAATAAAGTTGAATTATTATTAAAAGCTGCTAAAACAGCCACCAGGTCTTTCTGATAACTTTTTCGGCCCTGTGGGAGGATTTTGCCCACAAACACACAATTCAGCCACATTTAAGCGTTCTGTAGATTGATGATCGAACCACATCTTCTCTAATTTATTTAAGTCTGGTTCTGACTAGGTCACTCCAGAAACTTTAAAGCTTTAGAGCTCTTTGCTAGTATTAGAAATAAATAAATAAATATAAATATA